AAAAGAGACGCTCGCTGTTTGTCGTGCGTTCAACTTCGAATACCGGAATGAGCTGTGGCGGGATTGCGATCCCTGCATTCCCAGATCAGGAGCCTGTGACTTTGTACAGGCAGCAGACGTTCCAGGTCTCTCGGACTGCACCAGCCCCAAGCAAGACACAACTGTCATATAATACTGAACAACGCATCACTGGCGGCCAGGCGTGCAAAGAGCAAGACTCAAGCCCGTACCCGCAAGCAAAGCGACTTGAAGGGCTTTTTGAGGCAACTCATCTACCAGCTGACTACGAAGACCTCAATGGTCAAAGCTTGTGGGTGTTTCCCAATGGCCCCGGTTCTCTTTCTGGTGAGTGGTTCGGCCTCGTGCTCGCTCCCTTCCAGGTCACGCAAAGCCAGCTCTGTCTTGACCTCGTCCTCGCCACCTTGGACTACGGCTACGGAGCCGTATGCTGCGAGCCACACCGCGGTCTGTCTGCTGGGGATGCAACCGTAGACCCTGCGCAGAGCACATGACATCTCCTCAATATCCTCCTGTGCACGCAACCGTCAAATCCTGCTACGACTTGTTGACCTTGTTGTGCCCTCTCTGCATTCCTCACGCCTCATTGCATGCACTCATCAACAACCAACAATGGCGAACTGGAACAAGACTGTCCCTCCGTCCACAAGGCAACAACCCTCGCAGTCCTCCACGATGCAGCCCAAGGAAAGAACTGGTTGACCAGTTGCCTTCAAGCATCTTCAGGCCGTTTGGCCGGCCACTAACCAAGGAAACTCGTGGGGCGACACTTAAGCATCACAGCAATTCCCTGCCTCCTGCTCAGTGAATCCGGTGATTTCGGCCACCTTCCGAAAGATCCGGCTAAGATGTGAGGACTACAATCCAACCGATGTTCCCTGCCTTCCGGTTCCAGTCCTCACAGCATCAGAGATATCTCTTTTCGGGTGGGAGCACCCGTGTCCCCACCTGGATTTTGCCATCTCCATCTATGGTGAAGATGGGCCGCAGCGATGTCTCCTCAACAAACACAAGCGTATGCGTATCCGCCAGCTACCAGCGACTTCAGCTGCGAAAAAGCATCACAAACGTCACCTGAAGGGATAGCTACGAATGTGTGTCGAGAGAAAACGTTACACCTGCCCCACGCTTTCCGAAAAGCACGAAAGCAGCACCTCACAGCATCTGTCAGCAGCCGGCATCCCAAGCTCCCAGCAAAAAACATTCGTTGCTCAGCTTGCCACATCTCCACCTGCTCTGCGATTTCACCAAGAAATTTTCAGCAGCGTGGGTGGCTGATATCGGTAGCTATGTCTTAACGAACAGGGAACGAAAAAGACATGCTGCAAGTGTAAGCTGTTATTCAAGCTACACTCAAGCTACCCTGTGGCACACAGACCACCATTCCCAGTGCAACTGCTTTAGAGGGCTGTTCAAACCTGAATTGAAGTCCTGCAGTCCTTCGGCACTAAGCGCTTAACAAGCAATCCTGATGAAGACGGCCTGTGGCTTTGAAGCACACTCATCGGGATCGCTTCCGTCCTGCATGGAACAATATGCTACCACAAGTGCCGGGATCAGGTCACGCCGAACGTCTACAGATTCGCAGATGCTTCCTTGGCCATGACAATGACCCCAACCGCGTCTCCTGAAGCCTCGACAGCAGAGACACGAGCGCATTTGGGCCGTGCACGGTTGACTCTGACAGTTTGGCACAACGATATTCAAATTCGTGGCTCATGTAGTACAGCCGCTAGCCAGCCTAAAAGCAGTCCAGCGAAACCAAAACTCATCTGTTGACGAGGAACGTCATATCGCGCCGTTGCATTCATCTCCAGCACTGATATGTTGCCGCATTTTGTCAGCAACTCACACCTCAGATTGCTCAAGTTTGAGCTCTGGGCCCTGATCTTATAGATGCTCCGATTAAAAGCCTTTCTCAGAGATGGCAGTGCCATGCGACAGCCTGAAGACCTATGTGTATTATTTGGGCTTGGGCCGGGTCCAGGCTTCACCCTTGCAACTGGTCAACATGCGGGGCTTCCTACAGTCAGCGAGATGAAGTGCTTTTGGATCCTGTATTCATGGGGTGGAAACGCACACGGCCAAAACATCGAGGGTGCGTTGCTCGAGCGGCACTGTGCCGTACCACGCACACGCTGTCACTGTTCAGCCGAATCGCCATCATTGACAAGGCATTGAGTCACTAAGCCACAGACTCGAAACCGAATGTTTCGTTCCCGTCCAGCGTGTCCACAATCATGCTGTCCTTGTTGTTGCTAGAGGCTGTAGGCCAGGAAACGGCAACGATGACGCAAATGTAGTGCTGGCGGGGTTGGAGTCTTGATAAAGTTTGAGGCACATCGTGCGTATGCTGAGTTTGCAGCCAGCTCATCACCATCGCCACAGATCAGCTCTTGCAGAGGTCTGCCCAGCACCTCATCCTGCTAAAGTTGCAAAACATACCACGCAAGTCTTCGGGCCCGCATGTTGTGTGGCTGTAAAAAGCAGCTTGAATCCTGCTTGAAGCCGCTCAGCTTCTCTGCGCATTTGTTCCAAGCGGTTACCTCTTCCAAAGTCACCGAGTCTTCATAGGAATGACAAGTGTATGTTGCCTTTGCGTACGGCTTCATCCTGATGGCAGGCTGCAAATGCTTCAGCGCCTTCCCAGCCACATCCAGCAGAAGACTTGGTGTTGGCGCCACGGCTACCACCTCACAAAGTTGACATAGCACTTGCAAAGGTCAATCGGAAAGTAGCAATGCCGGCACCTTGTCAAGAACTGCATTGAAATCCTCCTCGTCGAACGCTGGAACCTCCTGACGTGGGCAGAGCCGTTTACCCAAATGGCGTCAGACAAATGAATGTGCGCCTTGACAGGTTCAACATTGTGCGCGACGCAGATGACATCCTAAGCAGCCAGGAGAAAATCCGACACTGGGCCAGGCCTTTTCAGCCAAGCCTCCCCAACATCACCCCGCAAGGCAGGATGTAGCGTCAGCCGCTGCACCCCACCGCCTTGCATTCGAAGCTCAAGGGCTGGTATGGCAACCGTTGCCGGGCGCGGCGCGGTGCGCGGTAATAAATTATAAACAATTAAAAAGGGCGCGGCGCCCCGCGCGGCAGCTCCTCAAAAGGCTGCTGCGCATGGCGTCGCGCAAAAACAATGTTGCCTATGCAGCAAAACTGCTGCCGCGCAAAGTGCCGCGCATTAAAAGGATGTTGCGCTGGAGTGGGAAGCGTGGTCTAGACCCTCAGCCACGTGAACAACCACCACTTTAAACCCTAAACTCGAAACTATATACTCTTGCAAGACCAAGCCAACAAATAACAAGATTTTTGCCGCGTGAGGCGCCGTGCAATTATGCTGTTGCGCTGAATGGAAGACAAGCCCTGCCGCGCTTCTACTTCGGGTCCATACCTCCCGAAACCGCGTCTGCTACTTTCACTTCGGGCCCA